AAAAGCAGCGGCAAAAAGAAAAGTCTTCAGCCTGGATTTAAAAGTAGTCAGAGTTGCACATAGTTGGTTAGATTAATCATTTGTGTACACGTTGAAGAGGGCTAATGAAAGTAGCTGATATTGATGATATTGATGACTGATGTTTTTCTCTTCAATAGAGCTTTAGACGGCATATTGATCATGTGGTTTCATGGAAATTAAGATTCTGTCTACAGTTGTTAATAACCCAAAGATCTGTGCTGTAGCCTACAAATATATATTTTCATGAGCTTGTTTTGACAAATTAATAGTTAATTAATAAAATCAGTGATTTGCCATATAGGAGCATATAATATACAGCAGTTACTGCATTTGATCCGTCATCACACATTTGATACGTAATTAAGATTACCAGATTTTGCTTTTATTACAAACAAATAGCAATACCATGATGGATACACATCTGGGAAGTTGAGGTCCTTATCCCTTTTGCCTCTACATATCATGACCAGACTCTTCTGAATTTTGTATTGCAAATCATTTTTGACCCGTACTTGGAAACCATGCAGCACTGATAGAGTAGCAGATCGTTGCATACAACTTATCAGGGTGTTTCCAATCTGTTTCTTATTATACTGTTATCAGGCTTCTAGTCCGATAAATCATTACCGTACATGTTAAAGAATGCTGATGACACACTGAAGAGTAATAATGTTTTACAGCCTCAGTGCTCTCTCCTTCAATAGACCCTATAGCCTTGAGCTTTAGACAGTATACATTGATCATGTGGTTTCTTGGAAATGAGGATTCAGTTTACAATAAATGATATCAAAAACTTAATAAAACCCACCTCAGATGGCTTCATGTGCAAATGAAGTGTTTTCTTTCCTTTTTATAGAATTAAGACACACCGTTTCCTTCAATCAAACAATGATGGTTGCACATTCCCATAGCCTACCAAATTAAAACGACTAACAATGGGATCTAAGTAAGCAACTTATTGCTAATAGAAACGTGTGCTTTGGTCGACAGCTATATTTTTAGAAGCTTATTTGGTCAAGTCTACAATTTGACAAGACAATGCCATTTATGAACTTTTAAAAGTGGCAATTGTGTGATCGGCCTTTTTAAAACATTTGCATGGCTTTTAAAACTTAGTAAAACAAAAAATAATTAGTAATTAATGTGTTTTCCTCAGTCTGGCTTTGGAGTATATAGCTGTGCCATGACTCACAATAGCTCAGTGAATGCAACTAGTGATCGCTGTCCGTATGTGGGTTAAAATCTGTCTTGTGTTTTTATTTATTGATATATCAATATTTTTGTATCTGTTATAAAATGCTTTCTGTATTTTCGTTTGAATAATTTATATAGGCCTATGTCTGTGTTAAGACATTTTGGAATTGTTCCATTAACCATTTTGTTTGTGGGCTTATGTGCAATATAATATTGTGTTTGTGTAAATGGAATAACATTTTTGATTATAAAAAAATAATAAAAATCCATCCATCCATCCATCCATCCATTTATCCATCTATCCATCTATCTATCTATCTATCTATCTATCTATCTATCTATCTATCTATCTATCTATCTATCTATCTCTATCTATCGTTGAGGCTGAAAAGCTAAAGAAGACTACATTTCCCATGAGCACTACAGAGGAAGTGCGTCACCGCTTTTATCATAAAGCATGCTGGGTAACCGCCCCTCTCTCTTTCCGGCTGGTACGCCATCATGTAAGCGAGTTTTTCTGAATTTCTACAAAACGTAATCCATTAAAATCATTAAGAATCTAACTTCATCTGAGTGTTTTGCTTAGGGTAATATCTAACAGCATACTAACCATCCTTAAGCCAGGATTATTTGTAGAAAAACATTGTTAAAAACACAGATTTAGCTCTGTTTTTGCTGTGCTGTGTTGCAGTCTGATAGCGGTTTACACTGCTGGCCAGCGTAGCTAAGCTAATGTGATAGCATGCTGTCCGTATATGTGTGGAATACATCTATGTCTTCGCGTTATAACCGGTTTTTACACCTAACTGCTTTTGTAATGTAGTATTTGTGAGTTAACCTTAAATCATACAATCCGGTGAAGCATCAGTGAGCTACGTGGCTAACATTAGCATGCTAGCTTTCTAACAAGCATGGACTCCTTTTCCTTTCTGATTTTCACAGTGTTTTTAAATTGTTGTGACACCTGGGTCGCCGTACCATTTGTTATGTGTTTAAAAGCAGGTTTAAAGTGACTATGAAAATGTGTTATTATGGCAATGTGGACACCGAGTTGTTACCACTCATGCACATAGTCTTATTGGTGGTGGAAAAATGTCAAAAATACTTTTATCACAACTAAAAGTCCTGCATTCAAAACATTCAGTAATGTTTATGGGTAAAAATAAGCTAATGTAACCTAACGTTAAGTGCAGAAAAATAGCTTATTGTGTATATAATGACTTATACATGGTACATTACTAGATAATATTTGTGCATCAAGTAGCATTTACTGTTGTAGACAAAGTTGTGATGGACTTTTTGTTAAATATTTAAATTGTTTGACTCTTGTGACTGAACATGTTTGTTTTTTAGAGGTGCATTTTGTCAAAAGTAGTTACATAAGTGGAGTTAAATGTAGTGAAGTAGCATCAATTGTGCATTTGTAAATGTACTTCATTTCGTCCCACCTGGTCTTGAACCATGTGCTGTTATGACTTGATTAACAAATTTAAAAAATTAATTTAAAAGCCCTCATTTGTACATGAGCAAGGCATCAGCTAGTCAAAGTAGTAGCATGCATTCTCACAACTCTAAAACGTTGCAGTGTTTCTTAGCTTCAACTGATGTTATCATGGATATAACTGAAGATGCTTGCTGTCCTATATTAATCCCCTATGTGTTTCTTTTGCATCAAGAAAATGTCTAAATTAATGAAACACTTTATTTGTATAGCACCTTTCGTGCACTAAGCAGCCCAAAGTGCTTTAGAGAATAATAAGAACATTACAACAATATTGAAATAAATGCAAAATAAAACATCAGCAGTGACCCTGATGAAATTCCCTTGAAGTAAAGCTGACAAGAAATTCAAAGAGGTGGGCGGTGATGAAACTTCCAATGCCAACTGTATTACTTGATGATAAAGAGGCTGTTTCTGAGCTCCAATCAGGACAAATGAGATGGGTTAAAATAAAACACATTTAAAAAGTAATAACAAAGAAGTCTAACACTTGTTTCTCTTCTGCAGTTAAATCAACAATCTTATCATATATGTAGTATCCTCTATCATGTACATCTTCACACCTCAAGGCGAATGTGTAATGACATGCAAAGAAGTCTAACTATCACTTGTTTCTCTTCTGCAGTTAAGTCAACATGGGAGCATATAGGTATATGCAGGAGTTATGGCGCAAGAAGCAGTCCGATGTGATGCGCTTCCTGCTGCGTGTTCGCTGCTGGCAGTACCGCCAGTTGTCCAACCTGCACCGCGCGCCCAGACCCACCAGACCTGACAAGGCCCGCAGACTCGGGTACAAGGCCAAGCAGGGTGAGTGATATTAACCCGGAGCTTTATCTGCAGAATCCAATATTCAAGATTCATAGGATTCAAGGCTTTTATTTGTTATACGAACATAGCTACAGTGTACTTTTGTCAATGAAAACCTGAGGTCACAGGCTCCTCCAACACTGAAACACAAAGAAACAGATAAAATAGTGCAAGAAGAGACAGACTCTGCTGTAAAGCCAAGCAGGGTAAGTGTTTTTAAACCCAAATTAACCCGGAGCTTTATCTGCAAAATCCAGTATGTTCACCTTTTCAGGCTGACAAATAATCAGAGGTTAATATTTTAAAAGAACATCATATCTGTCAAGAGCCTAAAAACCAGGAGGTGCAATTTTATGAGGGAAGCTGGGGCTGAAACACATTCAAACAAAAAAATAATGCATACTACAGTTTCATGGTTTGGTTAAATGCATCGATCTGCTGCATGTCTGCAATACTCACAGCTGTTTTAAGGAAAATGGCTAGAGTGTAGCTTTTGGAAATGATCATTTTGATTCACAAGTTTAAAATGTATTTAAAAAGCCCTCCTTTGTACATGAGCAAGGCATCAGCTAGTCAAAGTAGTAGCATGCATGCTCTCATGGTACACAACTTTAAAACTCTGGAGTGTCTGTAAAAAACTCTTCAAGAGTTGCTTGGCTTGACTCCTCATGTTATCATGGATATAACTGAGGATTCATGCGGTCTAATATCAATCCTCTATCATGTATTTATTTTATTGCAACAAGAAAATGTGTAGTATACTTTATTTGTAAAGCGCCTTTCATGCACCAAGCAGCCAAAAGTGCTTAACCAGTTAAACCCCACGTGCAAATCGCAACATCTTGCAAGAAACAGCGTCTGAGGGCTTCTTAACATTTAATAAACTATGAATGTGTCAGACCCACTTAACGGGAAGAAACTCACTAGGTGTGTTAGCATTTTTTCGCTCAAGGCTAATTCAGAGCCTTTGTTATTACCCTTATGTTCCGTTTTGCAAAAAATGGTTCGTATCGTCAGAAAGCTGAGTTTCTTCCCGTTAAGTGGGTCTGACACATTCATAGTTTATTAAATGTTAAGAAGCCCTCAGACGCTGTTTCTTGCAAGATGTTGCGATTTGCACGTNTGTGTAACAAGGCTATTTTCTCGATCTATTTTGGAATTCCAATTTCAATTTCTCAAATCGGTCTTTAATTCACTGTGTAACAAATCGACTACACAAATTAGTCATTCGAGACAAAAATGTCCACTGCAAAATACTTTGATAAAAACATTATATTAAAAGGTTTTTTTCACAACTTTTTTGGGTTCAATCTTTAAAGCAACTTCCGCCCTAATAGAAAATACCAAGAATGTAATAATTCTCAGGATTTTAACCCTTGAAATGCCATTTTGAATACATGAAACCGCTGTTTTTTTCATGATGAAAACAGAGAAAATTAGTTATTTTCCATAAATACATATCTGGGGACTGGCTCTTTTTTTTTTATAACAGTCTTGGATATGTCAAAGATTAGCAACAAAATTGATTTTTTTGCATTATTAGTTAGTTTTTGCGCAGAATCAGATTAAACAAAAAAACTCACACATTAGTCATTCGGGACAAAAATGTCCACTTCCAATTTTTTTTATAAAATGACAACAGATTAATATTTAAAAAAAACGTTTTGGGGTTAAATCTTTCAATCAAATTCAGTCCTAATAAAAAATCTCACTTATCAAATTATGTTCAAGATTTGAACCCTTTAACTGCCAGTTGAAAACATGAATTTGCGTTTTCTATGAAAAACATGCACAAAAGCAGTTATTTTCCATATAAGAAATGTTCGGGGGGGGTCGGCTTATTTTTTTATCACAGTCTTGGATATGTCAAAGTTTAGCAACAACATTTATTTTGGTGGATTATTAGTTTTTGCACAGAATCAGATTAAACAAAAAACTCACATTAGCCACTCGTGTCCCATCCACTCTCATTATAACCACATCTTTTGATCTCTCCGCCATACCGGTATAAAATCATGCATTTTGTAATGACAGGGTTTTATATTGGAGGGAAAATAGTTCAATTTTCCTTTTTACTATATATCACCAGATGTGACATTTTACCATTGAATTACATGCTTGTCATTTCTTGTTTTCTGGGCCTGTTGTATAATGGGACCCTGACAACCATTGAATACATGTATGCAACCAATATGATGTAGGTGTGTTGGTATGGATGTGGAAGTGTGGTATCAGCTGAGAAGTGTGTGTGTGTGTGTGTGTACAGAGACAATATACAGCATTTGGTTTACAGCAAGTTGCAGTTTTCGCCTCATATCTTCCTCTTTTCTCTCACTCCCTCATTCCCAAACTCATACACACTCGTACATATTAAACCTCCTTATACCTTGTATTTGTGTGAGTGATTGTGTTTGAGAATGAGACAGGAGTAAGTGTGCTCTCATGGCGTTTTGTTTTTCATTTGTGCTGTTTCATGTGTCTTTGAGGTAAACAGATGTATGATCTTGATCCAGCTTGACCTCGATGTTTTGAATGGTTTGGAACTTCAAGTCCTTTGATAATGTGTCTTTAGCAAACAGACATACACAGCCATACATACAGTCCTTGAAGTAAATAAAAACACCTGGCTGCAAAGCCCAAGCTTCAAATGTGTGTTGTTTGGCTGGATGGTCATTTCATTCCTGTGATACGCAACAAGCAGGTAAGGCGAAGAGGAGCTTCTCTGTGGGACACGAGGTCTCATGCAGCCCATCCCGTAACTTCAGGTTGGAACCCAGGTGGAACTTGTGTTTATGAAGTTACACTTTATTTAACCCTCACTTTGACCTTCAGGAACATATGATTGGTTATTATAAAGATGCTTATTAGTTCTGTAATTAAATCCCAATCATCGGTCCTACAGACAGTAGTGTCTAGTTATGTTAAGTGCTTGTTGTTCATGTGTCTTGATGTTACACATGGAGCTGCTGTGATGCAAGTCGCATTTCAGACTTGATCTGACCATTAGAGTATTATCGTATGTCTCTCCCAAGTCTCGATCACGTGAGCATCCTTAGCATGAACAAGTTATCTCTTAAATAAAGCAGTCTCTTCCAGGTGGAACTTGTGTTTATCAAGTTAAACTTTATTTAACCCTCACTTTGATCTTATCACGAACATATGGTAGGTTATGTTAAAGATGCTTAGACTGTATTAGTCCTGTAATTAAATCCCAATCGTTGTTCCTACAGACAATTCAGTGTCTCACAAGTCTCAATCAGGCGAGCTCCTCAGAACAAATAAACACCATTTAGCTCCTGAATAACGCAGTCACAAACCGTTCTTTTGACCATAAAAAGGGTTTATTTATTTCTGTGGCTGAGCAGTGCCCCTCTATCGGTAGCGGTGCAGCTGCAGGGTGTTGCGTCTCTTCCAGGCGGCGCGGCGGGAGCCTCCGATGGTCAGGTGGAACTTGTGGCCCTTACCCAGGCCGCGGCTCTTCTTCCCTGCAGAGGTCAGGCCACGCATCTCGCGGTGCTTGTGCACGGCCTTCGTGATCCATTGGGTGTCGGGGTTGCGTCTGATGGCCTTGTGGAAGATGTCCACCAGAACCACCTCGAAGAACTTGAAGGTGGAATCCTCTCCAACCCAATAAGAGCTGAGGACTCGCAGGCCTCCGCAGTGACGCCCAGCACGCTCCTGGGGAATAAAGAGAGACTCAGGGTTAAAGTCAGTCCTCGGGCCAGCGTAACACTTTCCACTTTCCGCTCGGTTCTTCAGAGAGCTACATTTCCATGACTTTTCCAAAACGTTGGGAAAAATAATGTTTTCCCAAAACTTTTCCAGGACCTGGAATTTCCATTTCAATGATTTTTCCAGGTTTTTAATGACCGTAGGAAGCCTGCCACTGGTTACAATTGTGGGGCCAGTGATCAGGAGAATCTACACTTTTTGTACTAAATACAGTAGGGTTAATACACTGCAGTGTTACAAACAATGGATTTAACAGCAGACCCTTCCCCTCATAGTCAAGTGTCACGGTAATTCCTGTCATTTTAGATTTTCCTACAGCAACATGTCAAATGTCTGAAAAACAGCCGTCAAAACAATATGAGAGTATGACTTCTGAAAGTGTCATTAGCTCCATATAAAAGCAGCAGTGACATTACATTAAACTCAGTTTTAGTGTCAGAAACCCATTATTTAAATCAAATCCCACTGTTGGTGTCACTTTTCTGACAGCTCTCAACATTATGATTATTCCAATGATAATGCAACGAGAGGCGAAGTCCCTCCGGGGAGCTCCATGGGACCTTATTTCGGAAAAAGTATGTATTGAAGTTGATGGAGAGACAAAGATTATCTTTCGATCCCGTTTGAATTGTGCCACGAATTACACATGATGTTTGTCAATTTAAAAGATAATTTAAAGGAGGAGAAAATCACTCCAAGTCTGGGCACGTTGAGAGCTGTACATGCACACAAGGGGAGTTAGTCGGTTCCGTAAGAGCCAGCATGCGGGACCGGGATTTGTAGTCTTTCTAGTTGCGTATTTTTCATAGTCTTATATTTCAACAGTTTTACGACAAAACTGACTTTTTTTACATTGAAATTATTTTTTAAGATTGACAATCATATGTGTAATTTGTGGCGCAATTCAAACGGGATCGAGAGATAATCTCTCTCTCCATTGTCTTCAATACGTCATTTTTCCGAAATAAGGTCCCATGGGTCGGAAGTAGATTGTGCGGGACTTCGCCTCTCTATAGTGCACTGCCTTTATACAGAACATGGCCACGGTATTTCTGTTTGGAAGTGTGAGAGCATTTCAAATAATTGGGAATCGATAAATTGAGTATTTTGAGTGCCATGAAGGTAAAATATATTTTAATAGAAAAATGTCACTAGTCAAAATCTTCAACCCTTAGCAGTTCAGACCAAAACAAAGATTGATCGCATTAAAAAGGTCAGAGGAAACTTGATTCTGGGAAAATGTCTATTATCTTTGCAGAATGGGCAACATCATGTAAGGAGCAGTACATACAGACTGTAGATCTAAAGTGACCTGAAGCGTTATTAAAAACAGTGAACACGGCTCATTGTTTCTGCAGTGTAATTAATAAAGTGGACGTACAGGTGACAAAGTTTTTAAAGTGATGCTACGCTCGGCATTCACTTGGCAATACAAATAGGTAACATGGACTGCAGACTGACTGAAACATTTTAATAAAAAATGATGCTACTTTCAGTATTCAGTATTATCTTTGCAATCAGACCGACCGGGTAACATAATTTAAGGGGCAGTACTTACAGCCTGTAGATCTAAAGTGACCTGAAGCATTATAAACCAGTGAACACGACTTCAGTCTTAATAAAGTGTTCGTACCTCAGCGGTGGACTGCAGGCTGCGGGCGAACTTGATCTGGTTGACTCCGTGATGAACGGGTTTACCGTATGTTGCTCCCTTAGGAACGGGCTTCTTACGACCACCACGACGCACACGGACGCGATACACCACGTAACCTGAGGGAAAGAAACAGACACGATGAGCAAAGAACTCTTAGACAACAGGTGAAGCAGATTAATACTAATAATAATGCATAAAAATTACAATTATTGCAGATTATAAATAAATCATTTAGGGATAAGCGGGTGAGATTAAATAAATTATACTTCTTCTCACTCCTTTTCAAACACCAGATGTGGCACTGTTTATGTTGCTAATGCTTTTGTTGTAAATGTCATTTTTTGTTTTGATTTCTCTTACTATGTACTGCAACATTTTTTTTGTTTTATTGAATTTTACTTGTTCGAAAAAAAATGTATCAATCAAAAATAAATAACTGTAGAACAGGGGGGTCCAAATCTATTTCATCGTGGGTCACATCAGCATTAAGGTTACACTAAAAGGGACGGTTGTGACTTTAAGACTATATAAATATATACAAGATAATGAATTACATTATTGCCTCTGCGTTGGATTATTATCGGATAGGGTAATAACTTTATAATTAACTACGTCAGAGTAGAAGTCTAGGGCAAATAAGTGCAAGTCTCTTCAGTGCACATGTCACAAAATGAGATGCATTGTGGGACATTGTGCGCAAGGTAGTGTTCTAAGTATTGTGTTGTTGTACAATAATTTGTTAATACTTTTCAAATTGTTTTATTTTAATTTCTTTCATTGGTCCTGATTGGAGCTCAGAAACAGCCTCTTTATCATCAAGTAATACAGTTGGCATTGGAAGTTTCATCACCGCCCACCTTCTGGCCAGCTTACTTCAAGGGAATTCCCAGAAGCTCTTATTAGCAGCTAATATGAAAACTCCGTTATTGACATAAAAATGGAAGGATGGATTATCGGTAATCATTTCAAAGTGACACATTGGATTAACCTTCAGCAGCGTTTTTATCGTTTTAATGCCATTGAACACAACTTTTAATCAGAACAGCAAAGGTAAGACTATTTCCTGTTTTGGCTCAGTAAAGCTACGTTG